GTTGATCATATTTAAGATCGAAGAATTAATTAATGGCAGGACTTCTTTGAGCAGTTTTGTAGGAATGGGGTCTAAAAGACACGTTGATGGTTTGGAGGAATCAGCTAAGAGAAACAACAGTCCATCATTAGTTTAATAACTGAGGGTCTGTCAGTCTGGAAAATTGCTAAAACTTTGAATGTGTCCCCAATATCCATCAAGCGCCACGATGAAACTGGCACACATGAGGACGCCCCAGGAAAGGAAGACCAAGACTCCCCTCTGCTGCTCAGGATAAACGTATCTGAGTCACCAGCCTCAGATTAGATAGATGCCACACAGAGCTCCAGTGGCAGACACATCTCTACATGTTCAGAGGAGACTGTGAATCAGGCCTTTATGGTCAAATAGCTGCTGCGAAACCACGACTAAGGAAAAGCAACAAGCAGAAGAGATTTGTTTGGACCAAGGAATGGACATTAGACCAGTGGACATCTGTGCTGTGGTCTGATGAGGTCAAATTTGAGATCTTTAGTTCCACCTGCCGTGTCTTTGTGTGATGCAGAAAGGTGAAGGATGGTCTCTACATGCTTGGTTCCCACTGTGAAGCTTGGAGGAGGAGGTGTGATGGTGTGGGGGAGCGTTGCTGCTGACACTGTTGTGGATTTATTCAAAACTGAAGGCACACTGAGCCAGCTTGGCTACCACAGCATCCTGCAGCAACACACCATCACATCATTGATTTATCAACACCACAATGACCCCAAACACACCTCCATGCTGTGTAAGGGCTCTGTGACCAGCAAGGAGCGCCATGGAGTGCTACGCCCGATGGCCTGGCCTCCACAGTCACCTGACCTAACCCCAGTGGAGATGGTTTGGGATGAGATGGAGCACAGAGTGAAGGCAAAGGGCCAACAGGTGCTCAGCATCTGTGGGAACTCCTTCAAGCCTGTTGGAAACCATTTCAGGAGACGACCTCATGAAGCCCATGGAGGATAGGGTGGGTGGATTTGATGAAGAATGTAAATTATCAAACGTGTTTTGAGTTATTTCACACTTTTTTGTTTACTACATAATTCCATCTGAGTGTTCATTCATAGTTTCGATGCCTTCAGTGAGAATCTACAATATATATAATCATGAAAATAAAGAAAAACCATTAAAAGAGAAGCTGTGTCCAAACTTTTGAGTGCTAGTGTACATCACAGGTCATAGGTCGGTCTCAGGTGACCCGAAACGCCTCCTCCTGTCTGCAGAGTCAGGTGGGTGGAGTTTGTAAAGCAGTGAAATGATTGGATGGATTTACTGTGCAGCTCTGAGCTCCAGTGTGCTGCACGTGGACCTCGCTGTGTTTGTTCTCGCAGCTCCTCGCAGGAATCCGAGGAACCGTTTAAATCGCTCGTCACGTGTAGCTGCAGTGGTGTGAGAGGAAGAAACACTCATTAATCTGATGACTGCTGACGACTTGCAGCTGCACCTGGAGCGCCGTGCGTCCTCACGGCTCGCCCTCGTTATGGAGTAATCATGCAAGCAGATCGGGCGCTGTAATCTTGGAGGAAAGGTTGCGCTGATTAACCCAAATCTCTGCCTGACTTTATATCATAAATATGAACTTCAGCTGAATTCAGCCCAAAGTTTCCAGCGTGATCTCCCACCTGCTGCCTCCTCAAACACCAGCACGAGTGAACGAGTGACGAGAAACATGATTTCCATCAGCGCACATTTACTCAGGACAGAGAACATGTCAAACATTTAAACACAGAAGATCTGCCAAAGTCAGCGAGCTAAAGAGAAACAGTTGGAGGAAGATTTAAGGGTGAGCTGGCAGCAGGTGGGTCACATGGTCATCTCAGAGGTTCTCCAGCCTGTTTCAGAATCACGTTCCTCGCTGTGGACATCGACACAGCATGATGTCATCAGCAAACTCAGAGAATCTGGAGGAATCTCTGTGCGCAGGGAGGAGGCTGTGTGTGAGTGTGTTACTGTGTGTGTGTTACTGTGTGTGTCCTCTGGTGCGACTCCCGGCTGAGACGGGACGGTTCATTGGGGAGGAGTCACGGGAAAACGATGTTTCAGCTCCACGTCAGCAGCAGGATCCCGGTGAACCTTCATTCTGTTCACTTCCTGTTAATCATAGTGAAAAGTTAGCTGCAGTTCACCTAGGGGGCGCTGTGAGATCAAAGTGAGCGGAGCTAAACAGAGGCTGTGTCCCAAGTCAGGGTCTGCACGCTTGAAGTACGCATTTCAAGTGCGGTTACGTCACCGCCACGCGACGACGGCGGTCCCAATTTGAAGTGTACTTCAAATGCATACTCCAAATGCGCCGTCGATTTCCCCAAATATCAAGCGTGGTGCAGTGCACGCTTCGTGGTCCCATATATCCCACAATTCACAGCACGGCGGTGGGTGTGGATAATTTTGCCGCAAAATACGGCAGAAGGGAGCGGCCGAAGAGTGAACTGTCAAAAGTAAATACTGAATATGATGTCACTTATTTATGTGCGAATGTTTAATAATGAAGAACATTAAAACATTGCTGTTATGTGACAATAGTGATGTTTGTACTTTCAGCGTTAACTTGGTTTTAAAACCTATATATATATATATATATAAAACACCCAGCACGCCCCTGCGGGCGGTTTATCCTTCAAGCTCGGGTCCTCTACCAGAGGCCTGGGAGCTTGAGGGTCCTGCACAGTATCTTAGCTGTTCCCAGGACTGCGCTCTTCTGGACAGATATATATATATATATATATATATATATATCATAATAATCTGACAATACTATAATATTGGCCATATTATATTTACATTACCACAGTGAGATGACTTTAGTCTCATGAACAACATTAACTAATTGTTATTTACTAACTAATCTTAAATGACTGTTCAGCACAGAAATGAAGCCCAACAATCATGTTTTACAGTCCCGTGGTCTCAGCCTCAGATACTCAGCTAATCAAAGTGATGTCATGACAAAAATGAATGACCAACAAAACATTTGTCTCCTTCATTTCTGTCACACAAAGCTGTATGAAATGTTTCTCGCAGTTAGTATCATGGTCGCTAGGCAACCTGAACAGCGCTACGCACCGTACGTAGTACCGTAGTGCGCGTACTTCAAGCGTGCAGACCCTGAATTGGGACACAGCAAGAGACTTTGGATTTCAGTGTCCATGAATCCAGCCTGGATAAAAGCACTCTTCCTCCTTCAGTTCCTCTCAGTGAAGCTAATTCTGACCATAAAACACTAGCATGCTGCTAACGCGTGCTGATTGTGCTGTTAAGGTTTTAGGACAGGTGCCTGTTTCCACAGTTAAAGCCCAGCAGGAGCTCCAGGTGTGCAGGACGAGCTGCTGTGGCCATTTCTGTTGAATGTTTATAAATCGCAATTTGTATTCATTTTTGTTTTTTCTTTAAAGTTGTAAGAATATGCTGACCTAGTTTTGTTATGTAAATTTGTAATGAATTAATTGGAAAAGTTTTTGGGAAGTGATTGGTTTATTAGCTCATGGACCCTCTCATTAATCAGGGGATTAAGAGCACCCTGGAGGGGTGTGGTAAAGATGGTTTTTGTTTGCCAAATGTCAGATGGGACGACGGGAGGGTTTAAAAAAGATTTTTTGAGCACTTTTTGAAGTTGTTAAAGCAAATTAAGTTAACTTTCGTTTAATTTTAAGTTTTAAGAAGTTATTTGGCTGATTTTTGTTTATAATTTTCCACGAAATAAACGGCATATGATTTTTAAACAATGGAGTCAGAAGTGCGTTCTAAAACAAACCTCCCGTTGCCACCCACGGCCTTTTCTTGGACTTTTTTGGTGTTTGGAACGTAAAAGGCCGCGACGGAGCAGCGGGGTGAAGGCGACGCTGTCAGGAGGCTGCTCGCTTCACGCCCCAAACCAAAATGGAGGACGCTGTAAAGCACCTCGCAGTGCTGTGACGTCTCTAACAAAAAGTGTTTACTGCAGGAGAAAACCTGTGAAACACCTAAAGGTGGAACCATTTCTGCTGAGCTCGACAGCGCCCCCTATGGAGCAGGAAGTCCACAGAGCCCCTTCAACCTGGACGAGTCTCTAAAGTTAGAAATATCCTGTCTCAGAGTGACGCTGAAAAACTAGTTCATGCATTTATTACTTCCAGGCTGGACGACTGTAATTCATTATTATCAGGAAGTCCTAAAAACTCCCTGAAAAGCCTTCAGCTGATCCAAAATGCTGCAGCAAGAGTCCTGACAGGGACTAGAAAGAGAGCAGATTTCTCCTGTTTTGGCTTCCTGTCATCCATCTTTTATGTACAGTGTGTGGATTTGTGCAGCTGAAGCTCTGATGTCAGGCGTCTTCCTCACAGCACGTGTTTACTTCCTGTTTCATGTGAGAGGAAGCTCACACTGGCTCCGAGTTTGACTGGACATAAATATTTTATCTGATTTCTTATAAAAACATGTAAAAGATTAATTATGGATCTGTGATGCGCCTTGTGTTGCTGTGTCCTGTCCTCATTCGTTAAAACAAAGACTCATACTAAAACTGTGTGTGGTTTCCAGAGTGTGAAGATCCTGACGTACCGAGAGCCTCAGAACCCCGAGTACCAGGAGTTTGTCCAGAACCTGAAGGCAGATGCCAAGGACATGTTCAACTACACCATAGAGGACTCACTGGTCAGTGTGTGTGTGTGTGTGTGTGCGTGTGTGTGTTCAAACTGGACACTTTACTAGGTACACTTTGCCAGCAGGGGGGTGGAGCTTGTTTCTCCACACAGCTGCTGCAGATGTTTCGGCTGCTCTGAGGGTCTCTGACGTGTGAGGACAGCAGGTTTTATTTCACACATCCATAATTTTCTGATTAAAACGAGATGATGACAAAGTAAAAGTTGAACAGAGATGAGATCAATCAACAGAGATGAGATCAATCAACAGAGATGAGATCAATCACCTCGACGCTTTATG